TGAAATAAAAAAAGGCACATTATATTATATTATATTCTTTCTGTTTTACTATTTTGTTGCCTTAGGTTTTAGTAAATCTAAATTTGTGTTGTGTTTGTGTGTGTGATCATTTATTTTCTTTTCTTTTTTTTTTTCTCAAATTTTATTCAATCAAAACTTCACACACAGACACACACAATTGGTAAGTGAATTGTTTTTAACTTATTTTTTAATTAAGGGTTGTAAATTTTGTGTGTGTGTGTGTGTGTAATTCTTGATTCTTTTTCACCTCATAAATTAATCCTAATTTTTATTATTTTCTAGGATTGCAAAGGTGTGGAAAGAGCTGCAGACTGAGATGGATAAATTATCTAAGGCCTGATCTCAAAAGGGGCACCTTCTCTCCCCATGAAGCAGCCATTATCATTGAGCTTCACAAAGTCCTAGGAAATAGGTGCAAAAAACTAACTAATAAATTACTCTTCTTGTTGTTTTGCATGCAAAATTAATTACATTATTCTCCTTGTGTGTAGATGGGCTCAGATAGCCAAACACCTACCCGGGCGAACCGACAACGAAGTGAAGAATTTTTGGAACTCGAGCATCAAGAAGAAGCTAATTAACTCGGCGAACCACACTCAGAGATTTTCCCCTCACCTCCCAAATTTTAGCGGCTACTCCACCACCGAGACTCTCTACATCATAAACAATACAAACCCGGGCATTACAAACAGCAACAGCAACAACAGCAACAACAATAGTTATATCGGTATGAACCCTCAAATAAATCATATTTACACAACCTCCCCAAATATAATTGCCCCCATGCCCCTCGACAATCTAGGGTTTAATAAATTAAACCACACCGTAATCGATCCACTCTTTCTGACCAACAACGATTTCCATGCCAACTTAATAAACACGGCCGCCGCCCAACCTTTTCCAAATAATTTAGGGTTTGATCAAACCTAAGCCATCGAGATGATGGTTTTATTCATGGGCCCGGCCCCATTTTGTCGATGATGAATAATAATCTTCCGCCAGCTGTCCCGATCGAGTCGAACACTGATGAAATCAACGTGGGGTTCGATTTTGGGGCGCCTTCCCGATCTTCGTATGTAGGGACAAACGAGGCTCTTCTCGAGGGTGTTGTCGGGTTTTCGTCCGCTGCAGCAAGTGCATGTGAACCGGCACTTTCTGGTACTCCCAAACCCGACGAGTACTTGGAATCTCTCCTGGCAGCGTTTGGGTCTCCTACGGCCCCGCCGCCGCCGGAGGCCCTCACCGGCGGTGCTACCCCGCCGTGTAGCGGAGGTTTTGTTGGGGACACTTGTTTAGATTCCATATGGGACCCTGTGGAGGGGTTTGGTAATATATGAGTTATGTGGTTTAATTGTCAATGCAAACGTGTGTGCTGTTGGGAAGACCTAAAATTATGCAACTCTATAATTTCGATGAGTTTTTTTTTTCTTTTCTCTTTTTAAATAAATAAATATATGTTTATAAATACAAAGAAAGTATCTGTTTGTGTTTTTTTTCTATGTAAAAAACAAAGAAAGTATCTTTTGGTTAACTGCACAACTCTGTTTTTAGAGAAATGCTAAAGTCTCGCTATAAAATCATTTCGTTGGGTTCGTAAACATTAGACCATCATGTAAACGAAAAAAATAGCTGATTTAATGGTTACAACCCAAAAAAATAGTTTCCTAACAGAACCGTAACATCTTTCCCGTTTCTATATTACTTATATAACACTAGTTTGTTAGATAACTCTACCAGCATATTCTGACATGGAGATTTCGTTTTAGGGGGTGTCTATATGTACACCCCCTTGTGTGTAAAAAAGGGGTGTACATATAGCATTGCCCTTTGTGTAATTTATTAAAGGGGGTGTACATATAGCATTGCCCTTCGTTTTATTTTGTTTCGTTGAAAGATACCATCAGCTGATAGTAATCTGACGACGCACTCGCACAGCGGATCGGGTGCACACACGCGCCTGTCTTAAATAGCTGTTTGCTACTTACCTTCAAGAATATGTGGGTCCCAGTTGCCCATACTATGTGAACAAAAGTCAACCGCCCTGGGCTTACTCTTTATTGGTTTTTGCCTTTACAACCCTCAATTTTTTTAATGGGGAAAGTCCACTTTTGGTCATTCATGTTTAGGGGTATCCAGACTGAGTCCTTATTATTTTTTTGTTTCCAATTTTAATCCTTAAAACAAAAAAATGTAGTCCATAATATGTTTTGGTGCCAATTTTAGTCCTTAAAACAAAAAAATGTAGTCTCTATTATGTTTTGGTGCCCAATTTTAGTCCTTAAAACAAAAAATGTAGTCTCTATTATGTTTTTGTGCCCAATTTTAGTCCTTAAAACAAAAAAATATAGTCCCTATTAAATTTGGGTGCCCAATTTTAGTCCTAAAAATAAAAAAATGTAATCCATATTATATTTTGGTGCCCAATTTTAGTTCTAAAAACCAAAATGTAGTCTCTTAACCTCAATTTCTGTGTATTAACGGTCCATTTTTGTTAATAACATCAAAGTAGTTGTGTAAAATAATTTAAAACATCGAAAAGATGTAATCAAATTTTAAAGGAACAAATTATTGACCTGATCATAAAAATCATGATACATTCATTGCATAATTATTAATTATTAAATATTAAATAATAAAATTATATGTTTATATTACATACCCTGCACACTACAATCCATCCACTCGTCCGTGAGTGGGTCCGGCTCATCTTCTAGTGCCTTGCGCGTTTCCCTGACAAAGCCTCCTGGGTCGTCTTACGTCCGACAGTTGGGGAACTGCTTGAAGAACTCGTTCGAGGGGTGGTTTGCGTAAATGACAATTTTGCCCATGGCCAATGCCTCGGTTGTGGTTGTGCAAACCACATCTGTTGTGCTCGGGTTCAAGTACACTTTAATAATTATTAATTATGCAATGAATATTTCATGATCAGGTCAATAATTTGTTCCTTTGAAATTTGATTACATCTTTTCGATGTTTTAAATTATTTTACACAACTATTTTGATGTTATTCACAAAAATGGACCGTTAATTCACAGAAATTGAGGTTAAGAGACTACATTTTTT